CTTCTTCTTCTTCTTCTTCTTCTTCTTCTTCTTCTTCTTCTTCTTCTAGGTAGAGGTAGAGGTTGTGGTAGCTGTTCTTTGAACAGACTGGTCACAGATGAGGTTGGAGTCGAAGATCAATTTTTCAGAATTCTTTATTGGACATGAATCATGGGAAGAAAAGCACAGTTTGCTGGGCTGCCGAATTTCTTTAACTCTCTGAGGAAAACGGAAGGCCTTTTAACCCTCCCGTCAGATAGAAGTGGGGTGGAACATACAGGGGTGTCAAGTTTATGTCCATACATGTATGTTAGACCTTAGGTCCGAACCTGGAGATCAGTTATTTATTATTCAGGCATGCCAGACATAAGTCCATATATGGAGATGGTCAGAACACAGGCATGCAGGACATAGGTCCCTTTTTAGATGAGAGTTGACTCCACTGGGTCAACCAGATACACCTGTTCAACCAGAGTGCGTTCGGTCACACAGAGTTTACAACAAAGTGGAAATATATACTAATTAGTTTGTGTTGAGACTGATCATGAGCTGCTATAATATTACATACAATGTTATTAATCCTAACATGTATATACAGGAGATAAAAAATATCAGGTAACTGTCCTCTGCTGCCTGTCCCCTGATGTCTCAGGTCTCGTTTGAAGCCTCGTCCCCAAGCCTGTCCAACAGGAAGCTGTACGGGAACCTGTTCAGCACGGTGCCGTCAGACCGAGCTCTGAACCAGGCCACGGTGAAGCTGCTGCAGCGCTTCAAGTGGACCAGAGTCGGTGTGATCACACAGGAGGGACCCCGACTTTCAGAGGTGACCCTGTGACTTTAACCACACCATGATGTTGGTTTAACCGATCTCACGTGTGATTTTGTGTCCTGGTCCAGATGAAAAAGGATCTGAGCCGACAGCTGCTGAAGGCCGACGTTCAGGTGGTTTCCTCAGAAAGTCTCTCTGAAGATGTCTGCAGCAGCTTGAGGAGGCTGAAGGTATCACAGCACATTTAGTTCAGGACCTGAAAGATGTCTTTGGTTCCATCCTCATCGCTGCTGCTTCTTTGTTTTGCAGGAAAGTGATGTTCGGATCATCATTGGTCAGTTTGAGGAGGATTCTGCCTCTGAGGTTTTCTGCTGTGTAAGTCTCTACATGGACTTATCCCGTTGTTATGGACCCTGAAGGCCACCGTAGTTCTCTAACACTTCCTCACCACTAGATGCCACTAATCTCACACTCTGCTCCTTCAAGTAGGTTTTAAATGCAGGGCTGAAGTCCAATAGTTCTTAAAATGTTGTCCTATGTCCTTCCCTAACCACTTGCCCTTGACCTTGATGGAATTGTGACCCGGTAATACTTAATGCACAAGACCCAGAATAAACTGGAACTAGAGACTGCAATACTGAAAATGATTGACAATGCATGGCATAAAAGACTTGTCTCCACTCAACAAGTGGGGTTCAATAAAAGGCCTTAATGCCGATCAAGATAAAGGAGGGATGGAGTAAATTATAAAATGAATACATAAGTCAGAACAATTAACATGAAAAGAAAACAAACAGCATGGGGCTAAACTGCACCATCAGGGAGGTCAGTGTAGAGTAATGCGTCAATAGAGGATTTTTGTCACAAATTGTGAATAAACCACTGCACACAAACTAAAATCAAATCAAATTTACCTACTCATAGCACGCTAAGGTGACTCAAACCATACAATAAGATACACATGCAAGATACCTACTCTACCACTTGGTCCCCCCTTCAGCACAGCACAATGCCCAATAAGAAAATAAACAGAAAATGGCTGATTCAGTTGATTTGTTAAAGGCACCCTAAATCTAATACATATGGGAAAACAGTGGTTGGCTCCTCTAGTGTCTTTGTTTAAAACTTTCTAGACTGGACACCGTCCCCTCCCCCAGTTGAAAACATGCCGGTGACCGGAATCTAGACTTTCTTCTTGGCTGATGTGCCTAAGCGATCACTCCAAGCTGCTCTTTCACATGTGTCTGAGTTCAGGAGGGGGGGACGGTGTCCAATCTAGAAAGTTTGATGTCATGAGGTCAAGGAAGGAAGTGAAGGATAATTCATAAGGACTCCAACGCAGACTGACCAATCCCATCATAGCATGATTCATAGCAGCGCTAACGCTAGCTTTAATGAGATTTCTTCAGGGAGTGCAGTTAGTGACAGTGTGGTGAAGCAGCCATGATTGTTTCTGTGTTTCAGGCCTACAGACTGAACATGTTTGGAGCTCGGTACCAGTGGCTGGTTGTTGATGGAGGAACATCTGGATGGATGCTGAAGGTTTCTGGATGTACGGACGACAGTCTGCTGACGGCTGCAGACGGATCCATCAGGCTGCAGATGAGACGGCTCGGCAACGCCAAGACACCGGGAATCTCCGGACGGGTCAGGAACCATACTCCCACTCACCATCTAACCACGACCACGCTCCCTCTTACACACCAGTCACCATCTAACCACGACCACACTCCCTCTTACACACCAGTCACCATCTAACCACGACCTCA